GGGGAGATACCATTCTGATTTCAGCATGGAATCTCTGGCTCGGATTGCCTTCTAGTTCATGTCTCCTAGACCTGTGCTCAGCATCCCAGGAAGCAGGAGGATCAGAGGCCAAAGCAAATGCAATACCGTTCACTAACAATGCCATACGACATCGGGTAAGCAGTAGCTCTGCTTGGGGACGGGGGAACAATCTTACAGTACAGGTGGAAAGATCTACTTCTGCACAGAATCCAGCATGCCTTTGGTTCACCGAGGCTCCAGATAAAGCTTCTGCGATTTGGCCCGCCAGGTCCTCTCATGAACGAACCTGTAGTTGAACCCTCTCAAGTCCATGACAGCTCAAATAGAGACATTGCAGGCAGTAGATATGCCCACAGGCCATTTTAAAGACAGTGAAAACTTTGTCAATGGTTTTCACCCCCGGGCCGGATTAGGAGAGGAAGGAAATCACAGGCAGCACAGAGTAGCTTATTAATTAGCAACCGTGAGATAGGCAGGGGATGGGTGTTAGGGAGTAATGGACAGAGAAGGCATTTCAGGAAGAAGTCTTTTAACAAATAGAAATAAGAAACATGGATTCTATCCACAAGAGGGCAAGTGTCTTAGTCCAAAGAAGCCCTTTTCTAGAATTCGCTCAGCTCATACTAACTACATAAAATTTTATTCCCAACAACCCAACAAATATTCTTTTCTGTCTTCAATAGGTAAAGAAATACATGGTTACAGCATTCTCCACATATTTGTTGTGTTACTTAAAGACTATGGTCTTTAGTCCGCATTAAATAAATCCAATTATTTTTGCCTTTTCTACAGCCGATCTCTAAGCCATTTCTTCTGGAATGAATTTAAATGTCCCCGGCTCTGGAGTCTGGCCAAAGGAGAGGCACTAGATGAGAGTCAGAGTGAGGCTTCCTTCTGTCCCTCCCATGAGGGATTTAATTGTTTTACCCTGTAAAGCCAGGAAGAGCACATAGCAGAATGCATCTAAAATAAACCCATTTGCCCACTTCTCCTTTTAAAAGACAGCTACTACTTGCTTCAGCCCTGAGCAAATAAGGAGACAGAAGGAAGAATGTTCCTTTAGTCATTTGAGTCATCTGTGAATTAAATGGTTGTGAAATAGTAAGTAAGGAGCACGCATTAAATGACGAACAGCATGAATTGAACATTTGTACGATGACTGTACCCACAGGCTATGGGTGTCTCATCACAGACGATGTTGATTGAACTTCTCTGCAGAATAAATAATGCAAATTCACTCTTCACCACCGAGAATATGTTTGAGGCTAAGTCAGTCAACCTGCCAGGATATGCTGCTGCTGCTGCTGCTGCTGCTGATGGTAACATACTCACAAAGGACACTCTGTATCAGGCACTTTTCTAGATGTTTTAAGGAACTCATTTAATCCTCTCAACAATGCTGTAAAATAAGTGATATTAATATCTCCATTTTATAGATAAATAAAATAAGGCATGGAGAGGTTAAAGAAACTTGACAGGGTAATATAAATGGTGGAGCTGGACTTCAAACCCAGAAATCTGATGTTAAGGTTTGCCACGTGCCAACTTCTAGATCAAAAGTAAGTTTAATCTGTTACCTTAGCATGGTTGATTTTTCAGAATTCTGAAGTTGCTTCAATTAACTGAACTGTTTTCTTTTCGGCTAAGCATTGGAATGAAAATGAATAAAGTCATTATATCAAAGACAAACTATGAAAGTTAAATAGATTTTGCAAATTGGATTATTTTTCATTTCTCGATAGCTGAAGTTTGGTTAAATAGCCATGTAAGAGTAGAAGATTCAGCCATTTGCATTATGTATCACGCCGCTCAGTATTTATGGGAAGGAGATTTATGTGGTGAACAATTCCATTTTCCAAAACAAGGGAAAAAAGAGATAGGCTTGAATTAGCCATACATCAACTCTTTGGAACAAAATCCATTTTTTATTTCCTTGTTGAGAATTAAGTCTGTATAAGGTAAGACATTACTTTTTCCCTTCCTTCTCATTTCCCATTAGTACTTGGGGGCCCTTGGGAAAAGGGTCTGAGTTTCTAAGCAGCCGCACTGCTATGTGCACAAACACCATACCGTCTGGTCAGCGGCTCTTTGCCGTCCACCTCTCCCATCGTCAAATCCTTCAAGATCTACTTTCCATGGCCAGGTCTCTATAACACACTTGCCTTTCCTAGGAGAAAGTAGTAATTAAAATATCCAGCCTTTTTCTTTTCCCAAACAAATGTTACTAACAGCTGTCATCAGTGATATTATCAAAAGTGGACTCAACAATCCAAAGTTTACACAGAAGTCACTCTACTTCAAAGACTTGTCAATAATAATAGGCATGCTGTTTGTGCTTTGGGGGACAGAGGCCATGGTATTCCCTGTAGCTACACATCTGGAATCCTCAAAGATGTTGATTGGATGTAAGTGACCTGAAATGTGAACACCAAAGCTAATAAACAGACAATGTCTTCTGTGCTGCTAAACTTGAACCTTCTCACTAGCTATGTCCTCTTATGGTGGCTGGTTCTGGAGAAGCTTGATATGTATAACTAGAGAAAGAGAGGGAGAGAAGAAGAAAATTGGGGTAGAGGGGGAATGGGATGGGATGGGATGCTTGTGGAATCTCAGACAGGTGATAAACACAAAAAAAGAGCTGAACCAGAGCAGAGGAAAATAAGAACATGCAGAGATTCAGGGACACTGGAGGGACACCAGAAATAAGCTTGTGCCAGATGTTAGTCTTTTTCATTCTGTCTTAGTCCCTTTGGGCCACTGGGACAAATATACCATAGACTGGCTGGCTTAGACAACAAACGGTTATTTCTGTGGAGGCTGGGAAATCCAACCTAAAGATGGATTTCTGATGTGGCCCCCTTCCTGGTTTGTAGATGGCCATCTTCTCACAATGTCTTCACATGAATGAAACAGTGAGGGAGCTCTCTGAGGCCTCTTTTTTAAGAGCACTAGTCTCACTTACAAGAACTCTACCCTCATGATCTCATCACCTCCCAAAGTCCCCACCTCCTAATACTAGCATTTGGGAGATTCAGCTTGCAACAGATGAATTTGGGGATCACAGACAATAGTCTACAACACATTCCTATTTGGGTTTCAAGCCTGGGCAAAAGCAGAAGACAGGCTTACTGGCTCTTTCCTCACTACCTCAGCACTCTCCTTTATACTAGGCTTCCAGTTCAAGATCTCTGTCAGATTATTATCAGTTGGGCCTGAAAAGTAGAGATTTAAAATCTCCAGTTCAATTCATTTTCGTTAAGATACACCTATGGGGCAGGTTTCTCAAGAAAGCATCTGTTCATGACTTATGTAAGCAACACAATAAGTGCACATCTTGAAAGAGAATGACAGAGCAGTTTGCAGCAAGGAGCCATGTGTGTTTGTTAATGTGGATTTGACCCATAAGCATAAATAAAGCCCGATCATCAGTAAAATGTTACATCTTAGTACTGGAACCACTTTGCTCTTTGATGTACTTCCTAACCGTACCTCACCAGTGTTTGATGGAAGTTCATTAGCTTCATAAACTGCAAAAACTAGCTATATATAAACAGAATCTTAGAGCAAGCTCCTGCAGAATGATTCCCAGAATTTGATGTTCTTTACCGCTTCCTCTCCTTCCCTCCCCTATTTGACACTTAGCATAAACACATACAATGGACCTAAATGAAGATGTGTTGAGTTATTGTAAAATATGGATTTTGTTTTCCTTCCAGCTCTTAAGGTATTTCTGTGCTTAGATATTTCTCCTTCGTTCTCTCTATTTTGATTTTTTTTCTTGTGGAATATATCATGCATAAAGAAGTATATGAAATGTTCATATATGTGTACAGTTTAAAGAATAAGACACTGGTCTGCATAAGTTAGCTTTCTTCCTCCCTTAATGGAATTTTTAAAAACATTTATTAGATTATTTGGGAAATATGAATGAAAGCAGTAAGTGCGAAGGGAAAAAATACATGTATTTTAAGATTGGGGAAAGTTTCCTTTTTGAGTTGAAAAAGTTAAAACGGGCTCTGGCTGCCTGCTTTTACATTGCATGCTTTGCTTTTTTATTTTCTTTCTTCTTTTCCTCCCTTCCTTTTTCCACCTCTTATAGCTCCCCTTGTCCCAAAGCTTATGTGACAATAGACAAACAATGCACCAGGTAGATGGCTCTCTGAAGAATGGTTCCTACAGCCGCTAATGTAAGACTGGACCAAGTTTCCAGAAAGAGCTGCAAAGACATGAAATGGTTCCAATCGTTTTAAAGCGGTTCAGCGAAAACTGCAACCTGAGACAAGATGGCGGTCACATGCCCGACTCTCCCCCACCGCCACTCTATGAAAACTCCAATGCGGTTTCAGCTCAGGGAGTTGTTCTGTGAAGTGCTCCCTGATGCACTAATGCATCGGGGTGCTCCCTGATGCAGCTAAATACAGTCTTCACCCTCTATCTGAGTTGCCCAACGATTCTTTCCTTAGAAAGTTAACATTCAAGCATCCACATGTCGCTACATCATCTTTCCTTTCACCCAGAAGGAAGGATGTCACCCATCTTTCCTTCAAGGGTAGGTTTGCCCTCACAGATGAGCAGGACACCCAACATGGAGATTTTTCTCACCAGTCACCAGGCGGTGCCAGCAGAGGGCAGTGAAATGTTGGGAACTGGCCACATCCCCTGAGCCTCCAAAACTGAGGCCCATTGTGTCTGACATCATTGGAATCTTCCCAGCTTCGTGTACAGAAACTTCCTACCCCGAATCCCTGCACTCTCTCCTCCAACAGGCTTCTCTCCTGTGTCTGCTGATCACCTAGAAAGGAAAGTGTCCACCTGATGGGAACGCTGTGGGCCGGGACAGATTGCTGGCCTCCTCTCCCGTGGCCCATCTGGTCTTGTGTGAGCACTGGATGGCCAGTGATGGTGCCTCACCCCCCCCCCACGGAAGAGCAGAGTCCAAGAATGTGGTTTCCTGCATTCCCAGAGGGTTACACTTGAAGGAACTCTGGGGATTAGTCAAATCCCTACATTCTCCCCATAAACACTCCGAAGCCCAGAGAGCTGACCTGGCCAGCCCAAGGTCACAGAACTAGTTCGTGTCAAGGTTGACGTTAGAATCTGAACTCTGGCCCAGACACACGGAGTGCTGGTGAGGAATGATAATTATGATAACAGGAACAGTAATGATAATGTTTACTGAGTACTCCCTACGTGTGTGCCAGACACTATTCTAAAAGTTTTGCATGCATTAATTCCTTTAATCCTTACCAAAACCTTATGAGAGAGAGATCATCATTATTTCTAATTTACAGATGAGGAGACCGAAACTCAGAGTAATGAAGGGACAGCTAGTGAGTAGTCAAGCCAGGACTGGATTCTGGGAAATGATATTTCAGACCTAGAACTTATAAAACCACTGATGTTTTCACTGCTCTGTGGTAAAATGAAAGAAATAAGGACAGGGCTGTGCATTTTTCGTATAAGCTGGATTTATCCCATTTAAAACACCAACTTTTATTATAATCTCTATTTATTTTAGAATATTAAAAATTCTCTTTTATGAGAAATTAGAGTATATGGGACTTGTTGGCATTCCACAAATTTTGTTTTCTGATAAAAATATATTCTGGAAGCTGTTTATGTATATGAAATTGCAGAGCCTGGAAAGCACTTTCTTGCATTATCTGTCACTTGTGGGAATTCTAGGAGAAATCTTAGTTGCATTTGTTTCCTTTGCCAGTTTCTGGTTCCTGGAATGGGGGAGGGGGCACTTGCAGGGTGGAGAATGACTAAAATTTATTATGTTCTTTTCATCAATCAGGACTCATTTGATGGCAAATAAATAACAAGTACAATGAGTATATATTGGTTAATTTACCTGAGACATTTGGGGATCAGTGATTTGACTTATGTCTTAAATTTTATGGCTTTGCTCTTTACCACATATTGGCTTAATTCTAAGGCTCCATGGGCCCAACATGGCTGCCAACAGCTTCAGTCCTTTCCTGTTTCAAGTTCAGAGGGGAAAAGGATCTCTCTCCCTAGTAGGTCCTATGTAGGATTGTACTTTGATCTGCCTGAGTTACGGTGATCCCTGAAGGAGTCACTACAGCTGGGGGTAGATTTATGCTACTTGGCCAGTTCTGAGTTACATATTATACTCCTGAAGCTGGTGGTGGGATCGGCTCCACTGGCAGCATTTACTCTGATGGAAGGAAGAAGATGGTTCTCAAAAGGGGAAATTATACACTGTTGCCAAAGGAGCAGATGCTTGATCGTTAAGCCAGCAAATGTATGTCACTCACTAGGCTGGGTTCTACTCACTCATCACTTATTTCTTGTAACAGACAAAAAATAACTCACCAATGAAGAAACTGAGGCTCAGCGACACCAATAAATACACAAAAGTTCAAACAGCTAGTCAGAGAAGATCCAGGAATCAAATTCTACTCCAACCAACTTCAAGGGCCAAGCTCTTCAGTTTTTCGTTTTGTAAGTGACTTATCCAATGCATCCCTTTACCATTAAACCTTAATATAAACAAACCACCCTGTGTATTACAATGATGGCATGATTGAGGGACTCAATGACCCTTCCTGGGCACACTTATGGAGGGTTGTGGCACCAGAGACCATTGACTGCTCCCCTCTCCCACTTCAGGAATTAAGAACTCTTTAAACATTTGTTTCCTGCTCTCCTCACCACAGTTGAAAGAACTAAGGTCAGAGGCTACCAATTATGTCTCACTTCGGGGTTGAAGAGAACATATAATCTGGAACAATTCTAGAAGGATGTTGATCAAATAAGGAGACAATGTTTCTTCTATATTTGATTTAGAATTTTCCAGAGTGGTAAGCACCTGGTACCACACCTCCTAGACTCTGTCCTTTAACCTTAAAAAAAGAAATTTGTCCAACTAAGTGGCCAAGAAGTACATTGGAAGAGTAGAATTTCATCACTAATAGACTCAAGAACACCTTCTTGAGTCAGTCTGCCACAAACACCGTCATCACAATTGCCCCACAGCAGCTCCAGGAAATGATTCCCTGAAACGGTAAGTCTGTCCAACCAAAATAAAGTGTTCAGAGTTGTAAACGGTATTCAGTGCTTCATTCAAAATCTAAACCAAGACCATCATTTTGCAGCTCCAGATATCACTAGGCATCCAGCTTTGGGTCATAAGTAAGATTCATAAGTAAGATTTAATAAAGTACAAACCCATGACTGCATTTAATACAAAAGGGATCTGAGATCATTAATATCCAGGTTTACTCAATGTTAAAAATTAATCTTCAGTATTTTCCCCAAAATGTGACCATTTCAAGTGTGAACACTTGGAAAAATGTGAACATTTTGGGGAAAATAATAGTCATGAAATAAAAATATGGAGAGTCCCTCAGAGATGTTCCCCAGAGTGCCTCAGTCAGCCATCAGGCCACACACCACCTCCTTATGGCTCCAGAAAGCAGACTAGGGTCTACTTCTTCCTCCTCACTCTGTCTCTCCCCTTGTCCCTCTAAACGTAGAAGGCAACTGCTCACCAGACATGTTAGTCACACATACCACATGGCTCGAGGATGAACAACTTTTATGTCTCCTCAATTTACATTTCTTCATGGTTTGAAGAAGGGCATCCCAGCTTGAGCCTACACTATATTCACGACTAAACTCAGATATGTATTGGCATGTCTGACAAACTTCATGGGGGACTTACCAAAAAGTAATTGGGAAAACAAAGACTAAGCAAGCACTTCTGGGGAGAGGGCAGATAGCAAGAGAGTTCAAGGCAGCGAGTCATAGTCTTGCTCTCATTTAAAAAAAAAAAAAAAAAGAGTCTTGGATCCTCAAAGTGTCCTGGGCATGGGCAGTAGTGGCCATGCCTGCTCAGAAACAGCAGAAGTGATGGCGGTTCCCAGCAGCAGGGACAAATGCCTGGTGGCAGAGTGGGATGTGGTGTTCAGTGGTGAGCTCCTGAGGCACCTCGTAGTAGCTTCCAAGCAACGGAGCTGGGGCCAGGGCAACAGGAGTGGAAGAGCATGGAGCCATATGGCCACTGCCCAGAACCTTGATCACACGCTTGCTTTTCAGCGTATGGAGCCTCAGAAATGCCTGGGTAGGGAAGGGAAAGAGCAGGGGCCGTGATCCTATACCAGGTACTAGCAAAACAAGGATTATATAAAAAGAGGGTATCAGATGTCCTCCCTTAATGCTTCCAGCTCTGACTTTGAACAATTATATGATTCTCACTCGCTAATGGTTGGGAAAAGAAAGCATCTTCCACCCTTCAAATCTCTGCCCTCAGTCCTCACCAATAGCAAGTTAAGACACCGGAAGACAGGAATAAAAGCGAAATAAAAGCATCCACTCCTGAATAGGACCCCCTTCCCTCACCCTAGCAGGTTCTGTGTGCTACTCCCGCTCATCCTGCCTTCCTGCTCGAGTTCCTCTCCTCTTATACAGTGACCTCTTCTCCAGACTGGCTCTCATCTTGTCCCTCAGCTCCCACCCTTGCCTTGGGCATCCTACGGCATTAGGGTTCCAAGTAAAGGCAATGTTCTCCTTCATGCCTCCAGATCTCACTCCAGCTACTTTCATTGAAAAACAGACATAGGGAGCTTCTGATCTTCCTTTGTCCCGGTCCCCACAAATCCCAAACTCAGGTCCAATGTTACTAAGAGCATTCCAACATTTCATATGTAGACAGCTTACCAAGGAGTTTCAACTTAATGGGATTATTAACATGAAATTATTATTTTTCAAATCCTTCTTTCCATTAGGCTTTGCCAATCACTCTCTCCTACTTCCTAGCAATGACATCTTGGTTCATTCCATAGCTTGCCAGTCACCTTTGATTATTAATATTTCTCCTATTAAAATCTCTAGTATCTTCGCTGATTGCAAATTGTTCATCTCCACTTCCTCAAGATCACAAAACCCATAGTCCTGGAGTGAAGAGTGATCATGTGTTTGGCTCTCAAATAACTTCTCTTTGTAAAAAAAAAAAAAAAAAAAAAAAGGAGGGAGGGCGCCTGGGTGGCTCAGTCAGTAAGCATCCAACATCGGTTCAGGTCATGATCTCGCAGTTTGTGAGTTCAAGTGCCACATCGGGCTCTGTGCTGACCGTTAGGAACCTGGAGCCTACTTTGTATTCTGTGTCTCCCTCTCTCTCTGCCCCTGCCCTGTTAATGCACTCTCTCTCTCTCTCTCTCTCCCTCAAGAATAAAACAAAACATTTTAAAATACAAATTAAAAAAATAACTTCCCTCCTCCCTCTCTCTTCTAGATCTGGCTTCCCTAGCTCCTTAGGAGCTACCTGAGCCAAAATCAAGAGTCAATGGCCCAACCCACTGAGCCACTCAAGCACCTCATGGCAATACTTTTTGATACAATAACTTAACAGTTAGAGACAATGAGAACAGCATGTACACAAACAGCAGCATGACTTACCACACCATTCTTTATTCCTATAAGCTTATTTCATCCACAGGGACTGGGAAATTGAGAATCACAAGTTCTTTCCAGTTGCACAGAATGGAGTCAATCACTTGAGACCTGCAATGACAAAGCTATTCCAAATCTTTAAGAACAACAACACTGCTTTACCCTAGACAAGTGTTCTAAACTATCTTTCCAAACACATCTCTTGCCAATTTTACCCAGACGTTGTTGGAAGTCATCTTAATTGATCTATAAGCCAGAAAGAAATTCTGTGTTAATGGTAAGCCTGATATCTTCTGCGCATGAGTAAAACTGGCCACTTGTTAAGTTTCAGTTCATCTCTCAGGGTGTGGCATCCCTGGGACATTCTTTTATTTTAAATATGTCATCTTGGGAATTTTATAGTCTGGCTTAATCTGACACATAGAAAAGTGAGTGAGTGCTAAAATATTTCTGGCACCAAGTCGGTTACAAACATCAAATGGGCTTATTTGTCTAAAACTAAACATAAAAAGGGGTGCCTGGGTGGCTCAGTTGGTTGGGCATCCAACTTCAGCTCACATCATGATCTCATGGTCTGTGAGTTTGAGCCCCACATCAGACTCTGTGCTGACAGCTCAAAGCCTGGAGCCTGTTTCAGATTCTGTGTCTCCCTCTCTATCTGCCCCTCCCCTGCTCATACTCTGCCTCTCTCTCTCTCAAAAATAAATAAACATTAAAAAATAATAAATAAATAAATAAAAATAAACATAAAAGATTAAAAGCTTTTGTTTACCTATGGTAAATAATTTTCTTAGCTTTTCTGACATACTTGTAGCCATGCTGTTGATAATACGCAATTAGAGGGGCACCTGGGTGGCTCAGTCGGTTAAGTGTCCGACTTCAGCTTAGGTTATGATCTCATGGTTTGTGGGTTCACGCCCCGCCTGGAGCCTGCTTCAGCTTCTGTGTCTCCCTCTCTCTCTGACCCTCCCCTGCTCATGCTCGCTCTTTCTCTCTCTCTCTCTCTCTCTCTCTCTCTCCCCCCCTCTCTCTCTCAGGAATAAATTTAAAAAAAAAACATTAAAATTTTTTTAAAAAAGATAATACGCAATTAGAACACGACTCATGATTCATTTGCCCATGATAGTCATGTGAGAGTCCCTATTTGTGTTTTTTTTAATGACTTCCTATGGAGGTAAAAAGAAAAAATGCAGCGTCTGAATCAGAAGGATGACGGATATTTTCGTAGGTCTAGATTTTTTTCCCTGAAATGGTGCACTAATGAAGGAAGTTATCAGTAAGAATCCCCAGCCCACAATCTATCAAGTTTCCCCTAACACCACGTCACTCTCTAAGCTGCAATGGCCGCCAACTATCTCCCCAACTTGTTTTGTGTGGTTGTTATTACTGTTGTTTGTCCTATGCTACATCCCTGGCAAAGCATGGGGCTCAGCAGCCTTCCCTAGAAGCCACAGGTTCTCTATCTGGACGGCATGTGAGGTTCACCAGGGAACGTTTCAAATCCTGAGCCCCAGACCAATTTATCTCTGGGAATGGGGAGCAAGCTTGGATAGCCTCTAAAGACCCCGGGTGACTTCACTGCACACGGTACACTGGGAACCACTGCTGTACTGTAATTATGCTGAATGTGTGCAGATGAATGTGGTCCAAAGGCAAGAAGTGTTGACTCCCAAACATGAACAGTTCCAAGATGTAATCAAATAAAATTTGCCATAAAGTCTCCCTTGCGTGTCATATACCTATAAATAGTAGCAATGAGTTTCCCTGAGGGTGGGTTTCAAGAAAGCAAAAGGACAGAATTAAGGCTGGGAGAGTGGACCAGGGCCATGTAGCGAAGGGCGGTGAATGCCACAGCAGGATTATGGACACTAAGGGGTCACTGAAGGCTTAGGTGCAGTGATGTGACATGATTGATGAAGGGGATGTTTTAGGAAGACTGGCTGCTAACAATAATAAGATAGATCAGAAAGGGAGAAAATAGAGTCAGGAAGACCAATTAAGAGGCAATTAGGGGGGTGCCTGGGTGGCTTAGTCGGTTAGGTCATGATCTCGCGGTTCATGGGTTTTAGGTCATGATCTCGCGGTTCATGGGTTCGAGCCCCGCGTCGGGCTCTGTGCTGACTGCCAGCTCAGAGCCTGGAGCCTGTTTCAGTCTGTGACTCCCTCTCTCTCTGACCCTCCCCTGCTCACGCTGTCTCTCTCTCTCTCTCCTAGAAATAAATAAAACATTAAAAAAAAAAAAGAGGCAATTAGGGTAGTTCAGAACTGAGGTGGTGAGAGCGCCAGGAACAGAAACGAACTATAATATTGGAGACAAACAAGTTATTGAA